GACTATTCGCGGACTATTCGTACTATTCGTCGACTATTCGCACTATTCGTCGACTATTCGCACTATTCGCTTCACTATTCTAGTTTTATCAATTGCCGGAATCTTCTGCCTTGGTAAATGTGGTATATGTAAATAACCAAATTGCCAGTTGGGCAAATACTTTTAGAAGAAACAAATTATATATGCAAACTATAATTCTGTAACATGAAGTATGCCCTATGAAAATGCCTAAATTTGTTGTTCGGGTTGTTGTTTATATTAAATTTATAGTCTTTATAGTCCTTTAATAATTTTGAAATCGCAAAGGAATCATCATGTTTCAAAAGTTTATGAACAAGAAGGATTTTCATCCAGGATCAAAATGGAATATAAAAAGGGTAAGCCAGTATACAATCACTAGTATTTGTATTTACATACGGATATGGACATATGGTGCACGCGATTTAGAGTGTGTTAATATATCATACCTCCTTGGATATTAAGAGTGTTTATTAATACAAGTATTACACAATCTTCGGGAAAAAGATGGGTAACAGCAAAATGTCGTTTATTTGTTTTATATAATTATAAGCGTTTGATGAAAAGTTAACCATTTGGGGATATTAAAAAACGTTTGGGGATTTTCGACTTCTGGAGTAGTCGTCCAGCCGGTGGATTCCGTGTTAAGGCCCATTTCCACTCAAGAAAAATTTCCACAGACAGAAAATTTTCCGAAAATGTCATTGTTAAAAGTTGAAATTTTTCAACTTCAAAATTTTTTTCCGACGGAAAATTTGTGTCAGCCAATCAAATAGTACAATATTTTCTTTCCGCGGAAAATTTTCTTGAGTGGAAATGGGCCTTTACTCTCACGCCGGATATACGCCATAGCATTTACAATCACATGCCAAGGTTGTTTACTTATAATTGTTTTTCTTGGCCGCTGTTGACGCCAAGAGAAAATGGCAGGAAAAAGAAAACCATTCAGTATCAGTATTGAGCAACTTTAAAATGGTTTAAACTCAGCAAAGTGTTTTGTCTTTGCTTTTTTACAACCATGGAGGTGATAAGGCGAGATTTTTGTAGAAGCAGTCTGTCTGATATTTAATGCCTAAATATACGTTGAAGAGTAAACAATTTAGATACAAAACATTGTTTCCTCAACAGAAATATTGTAAATGCCAATTAATAATAATTAATTACCTTACCTCCAAGTCAATTGTTTATTCTTGTTCTTCGGTTCTTGCCATTGGAATTTGGAAAGAAAGCCTCAAGAGTCAAGCCCAGTCACGCATGACTACATGCTGGAATTATTTAATCATTATAATTCTTAACCAATCACATTATAGCATTGAATCGAATGATTGAAAGAATGTCAATTTCAAAACAAATAAACAATTAACAGAATCTATACTATTTATGTAGGTTTAAATATATTAGTGCAATAGTGGTGAAAACGTACAACTCTTTTTTCTATTAAATACATATAAATACTATCGTTGTTGAATTTTTGTATTCTGCCGACGTGCTGCAAAAATTTCACACCAACACACTGAGGCGTTGATGCACCAACATAGTGACAAAGGGCGAAGTTACGCCAATACGCCGACGGCGATATAACTCCATGTCGGTAGTGCTGTGCAAATTCCGGTTTTTCAGGTCCGGCTCCGGCCGAATTATAGCTGTGAGCTCCTGCTCCAGCCACATCATAGCTCTGAACTCCGGATAATTTGCAACACATACAGTATATATATGTTCTACTCGCAGGACAAAGTCTATAACCGAATAATACAGAATATGATATAACTTAATTTTGTTACCAACACCATCAATGGCTTTTCTTGGTGAATTTTTGAAGTGAAAGAAATCTAGCGACAGAAATTGTGTAAACTTTATAAACTAAAATACTGAATGTAGTACACTAACTACAAAAGTACAAAAGTAACAAAACAATAAAATACGAGTACACATTGCCAAAGTCGGTGTTTCTATTGTTGGTGAACTTAATGAACGCCAATCGTCCAATGTTGCCTGGAAGGAGCGCACAACGTTTCTTCGACATGATGTTCCCTGTCAACGAAAAGACACGCTCGGAAGTGACAGAACCTGTGGACAGGAAAGAAACGATAGAGCCAAACGTGTCAAAGCAGGCCATTCTTTGTGGCTATACCAATAACGTAGTATATCAAGAGCATTGGCTTTCCCATCTTCAGATCTCACTGGTATCACCGGTTCAGACAGGTAGTTTGTTAGCTCTTGTTCTGGCGTTAGTGATCCTTGTTGCCGTTCAACAGTTGTGCTCCCCTGGCTCTGGATACGTTCACTTACAATATCAGTAAGCGTTGTTAGTAGTTACCCTTTTCTAGGCACATAAGCTTCTGGTCGTTCTTCTGGGTTTTCCGCATCACCATGGTCACCTGGCGCTGTTGTATCCCTATTCATGATCAGCCTCGTAATAACAGCGTCGCGGACGACGTCATGATAAACGTCATCAAAAAGAAGTAGTTTGAATCTGAAACAGAAAAATGTATAAATTTAAATAAACTCAACATGCTATTAAGTAACTGCACATTGAGCAAATTTATTCGCCATGATATAATGCCATGATATGAATTATTAATTTAAAGTAACATAATTGCATAAAACTTGCGTTTTTATTTCCATATACAGTTACCCCTG